GGTTATGAATATTCATGGAGTACAAAGCTAATTTTTCACCACTTGTGCCCAAGATGTGATGGCCAGATCCATACTGGCAGCATGCCCATCACTACAAATTGTGATTATACCCCGTGTCCCCCACCCAATTATCCTCAACCTCCCCCCCATCCCCCTTTCCTCCTCCACTTTGTATCCCTAGGCTTGTTCTCTCCCTCTGTAAGTCCAATGCAACACTGTGGTCTTTCTTTTCTTCTTTCTCTCTTAGCTCCCACTTATGAGTGAGGACATGTATATTTATTCCTTTGTGCTTTGCTTATTTTACTCAACGTAAGTTTCTTCAAGTTCATCCATGTTGTTGCAAATGGGAGAATTTCATTTTTTTTTTATGGCAGAGTAGTATTCCATGGTGTATATATACCACAGCTTCCTTATCCAATCATCCATCAGTGGACATTTAGGTTGGTTCCATGTCTTGGCTTTTGTAAACAGAACTGTGATGAATATGGGAGTGCAGGTATCCCTTCAACATGATGATTTCCATTTCTTTGGGTATATACCCAGAAGTGCGATTGCTGGATCATATGGAAGATTTATCTGTAGTTGTTTGAGAAAACTTCATAGTGTTTTCCATAGCGGTTGTACTAATTTACAGTCCCATTAACAGTGCAGGAGCATTCCCTTCTCTCCACCTCCTCACCAGCATTTGATATTGTCTGTCTTTGTGATTATAGCCAGTCTAAGTGGGATGATATGATATCTCAATCTGGTAGTATTCTTTATATCAGGCATTACTATTGGTTTTAGTACTGTAATTTTACCAATTCCAATTCCTTAATTGACTGCTGTTCTACAGGAGCATTCCCTCTCATTGGGGTATGTAAAAGTTCCTCAGTCACCTGTCTGCTTTTACCTTGTGGAAAAATAGAAGAGAAGATAATATCTTAAAGCTAAAGAATTAAAGTCTGGAACATAGTGATTTACAGTATCAGTGAGCTAAAGAGCTCAGGTCTAGTTCCAGTTCTTTCACTTCATGATTGTGTGACTTTCAACAAATTACCAGTTTTCTGTAGGACTTCAGTTTCCTAATCTTTGGTAAGTGAGGATGGAGTAGTTAGGTTGTTTCAAAAATCTTAGCTTAAGAATCTTTTTTTTTGTTTTTTTCAAAATTAATCTTTTTAAGAACTTTTTTATTAAAACATATTAATCGTACATATTTATAGGGTACAGTTTTGAATTTCAATATATGTATCCTATTTGTGTTGATCTATTCAGAGTAATTAACCTGTTTATCATTGCAGAAGTTAATCATTTCTTCGTGATGTGCATGTTTAATCTCTCTTCTAGTTGTTCGGTTACATGAGGTAAAACATTATTGATTATAGATTTCTGGCTTGACTGTACACTAATAAGGCTTATTTTTCCATCTCACTGCACTTTTGTGTCCTTTAATCAGTCTTTCATAATCTCTCCTCCCTCCTCCCCTTTCCCACCTCTAGCAACCATAGTTCTTCTCTCTCCTCTTATAATAGTTCAACTTATTATTATTATTTGTTTTTGTTTGTTTACTTGTTTTGTTTTATTCTCTTTTTTTTTAGCTCTGACATATGAATGAGGACATGTGGTATTTCTCTTTGAGTATGACTTATTTCACTTAACATAATTTTCTCTAAGTTTATCCACATTGCTTGCAAATGGCAGAATTTCATTCTTTTTTATGGCTGAGTAGTATTCCATTGTGTATATATAGCGCACTTTCTTTATCTGATCATCTGTTGATGGACATTTAGGTTGGTTTCATATCCTGGCTATTGTGAACAGTGCTATGATGAACATGGGACTGCAGGTATCTCTTCAACATGATGATTTTCATTCCTGTGGGTATATACCCAGTAGTGGAATTGCTGGGTGATATGGTAGTTCTATCTGTAGTTGTTTGAGAAACCTTCATACTGTTTTCCAAAATCAGTCTTAAACTAGTTCAGGTAAAGCTGTCCTGATGATTTCAAGAATGTTGAGGACAGCAACCTCATCCTAAGCCTGCTGAATTTATCCATGTATTATAATTTGAAAGTCACTGTGCTAAATATTTTTAAGGATGCTTCTATCTGTACATATATGGAGGTCTATCTTTCAGTAGGAATAATCTAATTTACTTTCAGTAGGGGAATCTTTGCTTGCCAAAAAACTTCAAGTTGATACTAACCACCCCCCCAACCAAAAATCTGTTTAGAGCTGGGTAGAATACATGTAGCTTGGTGTTTATTCCTTTTGACAAGGAAAATGTTTGCTTGGCACTCTCATAAGCATGAAGGGAAGAATAGCACCCAATAATTTTGACGGCTTTAAAAATCATTATAGTACCATTATGTTACTATGTTAGATGGCTCCTACATTTCATCAATGGCAAAAGAAGACATTATGACCTTTCTAATATAGCAATAATATTTATTTCCATACTCAAATTTTTGACAATTTATATAAAAATGTCTGCTTAAGCATTTCATTTATTTAACTTGCACTATTTATCTTTACCTAGGATGAATCATATGCTAGCTTCATCAAAAGGGGGAGGATTGAAGGTTTCTCCCCTTTTTAAAATACAGACAGTTATTATTCACCCAAACAAAGCAAAGAAGCCAAAAGAGAAAGAGAAACTTTGTCAAGGCTAAACTTTCCCTTAGACTGTGTAGGGGTAAAGTTTTTATTTCTTATAAGAAAAAGGAGATAAAGTGTCTAACATGCAGGCTAGTTGAGGAGCTGCACAGTATTCTAGCTTTAAAGAGAATCACTTGAATTTCTTTGAAATGTTGTGAATTCTCAGACCAGGACATTTGACACATTTCGTAAGTGTAGTGTATGCAGTAGTCCTCACTTATACAGTTTCACTTCCCATGCTTTCAGTTACCTGAGGTCAACAGAGGTCCCAAAATATTACATACCATGAGATATTTTGAGAGAGATGAGAGAGAGAGAGAGAGAGAGAGAGCACAGTCACATAACTTTTATTACATTATTATAATAGCTCTATATGAGAGAGAGAGAGAGAGAGAGAGAGAGAGAGCACAGTCACATAACTTTTATTACATTATTATAATAGCTCTATTTTATTATTGTTGTTGTTAATCTCTTATTGTGCCTAATTTATAAATTAAACTTTATCATAGGTATGTGTATATAGAAAAGACATAATATATACAGGATTTGGTACCATTCACTGTGTCAGGCATCCACAAAGGTCTTGGAAATCATCCTTCACAGAGAAGGGGGGTCTACTGAATTTAAAAATCAATATGATTAATGTGACTTGATATCCATGCCCTAATTTGGAATCTCAGATCAAACTTAACTCACACTTCACCATCCCATAAACATTAGAAAATTAAGGGCAATTAAAAATCTGTGCTGACCCTCTTTGTCAAAAACTGCTTCTTGTGGTTTATCATGCATAAACTTCCAATACAATATGCTGTGCATTTGTTTCTTGAATTTATGTGTTGACAATGCATGAAATACAATATTTCAGATCCTTCAGAAAAACTTTACAGCCTAACCTCAGAAGACTTATCAGCTTTCAACAACTACTCGCTGCATGTAACTCAGACTTCCACAGACTTCCTCAAGACTTCACAAGCAAGGGCTCTCTGTGGAGATGACAAATGGAGGTAAGTTAAGCCTGAAGTTTACATGTAAAGACAGTGCACAGTACAGTTTTGAAAAACCTCAATTAGGTATCTTTACTACATAAAGAAAGATTGTCCTCACATGTGCACTTTATATGACCATTCTTTCTAAATTGTTTGGGACCTTTGCTGACCTATTATCAGGATTAAGTAAAAGGCTTATAAAGTGGTTACTTTAATGTGAACACATAGTTCTTTGCTGCACAATGTGTATCATAAAAATGAAAAGACATTTAGAATTGAATAATTCTTCAGCATTTCTTCTTATATTGAACAACAGTTGCCTTACTTGAATTAATTAAACTAATAAATTTCAACATTTTGCATCAATAGAATCTTACCCAATGCGAATAAAATTTTTAGAACAGAAGATTGAGAAGTTTCTTTCCTGAAATTTAGTCTAGATTATTAACAAAGTCATATTTTAGTTTTTGTCATTTCATTCTTTCCTCACATAAAGAAATAACATTTAAGGATGGTGATCAGTTTATAAGGAGCATAGGTTATACTAAAAAGTGCTTCAGAAAAGGAGTCTATTGTGTCAGCTTATTATTGACACACTAGAGTTTACTGAAGAAAGAGGAGGGTTTCTTCTAGAAGGACTCAGTTAAATGTCCAAAAAAAGTCCCTTGAAGTGTAAATTCCTTTGATTGGTTTGAAGTCTAATATTGCAGTAAAAGGGAATCAATTGGTTGTTACTCTGTCTTTATAAAGAAGTGAATCATTTAGTTTCGGTTCTTGGATTTTTGCATTTCTGACACAACTAACATTAAAAAAAAAGGATGAATTTTTATGGTTGCTATTATTTCCACTAAAAAGTCATTAAAAAGAAATTAACAAAACCTACATTTACTCTCACTATCATTTCATAAAATAAAGGACATCTAATACTAAAAATACAAGGAGAACATGCTAATAGAATAAAGCACAGTTTTTGAAGATTAAAAATGTCACAAAAAAGTCACTACCTTGTCCTTATATTTTCTTCTCTTCTCTTCTTATATTCTCTTCTAAATAGTTAGATCTATACTTGTCTACAGACCAGAGTTTATGAGCTGATGATTTACCTTGTGTTGGACATAAAAAGTAATCCAAAAAAACAGTTATACCATTGCAAGATGAACTATTTTATATTATTTGGTGGCATCCATGAACTGAAAATCTAGATAATTTAAGACTCAAAAATCTTAATTATGTGGGCTCCTCTCTGTTCCCGTACATTATCTTTGTTCCCGAACCTCAGACACCTAGGCTAGAGCTTTCACCAGTTCCCACCACACACAATAAAAGCAACAAATAAAATAACAAATAATTGCTCTCATTAATTTTGGCTTTGGCATATCTTGACTGGCTATCCACATAGTCCCTAATTTACTGTACACAAAAGAGGTGATTTATCTGGCAGTCTATTCATTGGGATTCTCTTAAACAGCCATGTAAGGATGAATGTTCTTAATCATGACCCTGAGGCTTTGCAAATTTCTGAAGTGCCTTCTGAATCATCAATGAAAACACAACCAGAGACCATAAAATCTTCTCTCCTTGGTTCCGCTGTGGCTTTATTTCTTGGGAGAGGGAAAATGATGAGAACTTCTCATTAAAAGGAGGCTTATGTATTGGGCATATTGAAAATTATGGCCCTGGCCTGACACAGCCCCCTTACATCTGCCTGCCTCCAGTGACTTCCATGTATAGTATCGATCAGAAGATAAATGAAAAGTTGAAACCTGGTTCTGTAGATTGTGTATTGATCTTGTAATGTATTTCCAGCACTTCTGGAAAAGATACCGAGATTCAGTCTCTGCTGTCACTTTCTGAGAGCAGTGCGGATGAGGAGGAAGAAGATTTTCTTGACAAGCAACATGTCATCACACTGCCATGGTCAAAGAGCACTTAATGATCATTTGTTCCTTACTTTTTCCACTTAATACCCAAAGTAAAGCTAATAGAAAAAGTATCCAAGTGATTACCTGTTGGTGTGCTGAAGATTTTGATTATTAATGTTTATGACTTGTTCGCAAAGTAATAAAAATTAGTGAAATTATAAGTTTCAGGGCTTTTTCTTCCAAATGTATGTCAAGCAGTAGTCTCTATTATAGATCATATTAGTAAAATTTGGTGAATTTTAAGAAATAACAGTTATAACTCTGTCTATAAAACCTACCATAGAATAGAACATGATTATATTTAAAGTAATGTTTCATTGTTTGTCTTTTAAATACTTATCAATAAGAGTGTATATTTGACAGCCAAGTCATACAATAATTACTGTGTTTTTTTTCTGTTAGCTTCAAAAGTGATGCTAGAAGAGAAAAAGAGGAACCAAAATAAAGTGGACATAATAACTCATCAGACTATGCTCTAGTAAAACACAGAAAAGACCCAACTGCATCTTATTTAGGGAAGGTCAATGTAATGGTTAATTTTACGTATCAACTTGTCTAGTCTGTAGTACCTAGATATTTGATCAAACATTATTCTAGATGTTTCTGTGAAGGTATATTTTTTTTAGATGAGATTAATAGTTAAATCAATAAATGTTGAGTAAAGCAGATTACTTTTCATAATGTGGGCTGGCCTCATGCAATCAGTTTGAAGTCCTTAAGAAAAAAAACCAAAAAACAAAAAAAGTGAGGTCCTCCAAGGTAGAGGGGGGCCTTCTGACTGCCTTCGGGTTGTGCTGCAACATAAATTCTTCCAGATTACTTTTCATAATGTGGGCTGGCCTCATGCAATCAGTTTGAAGTCCTTAAGAAAAAAACCCAAAAAAAAAAAAAGTGAGGTCCTCCAAGGTAGAGGGGGGCCTTCTGACTGCCTTCGGGTTGTGCTGCAACATAAATTCTTCACTAGGTCTCCAGCCTGCTGCTCTGCACTGAAGATCTTGGGCTTGCTAGACCCACAATCGTGTGAGCCAGTTCCTTAAAATACATCTCTCTCTCCCTCTTTGTGTGTGTGTGTGTGTGTGTGCGTGCTATCTCTCTCCATATATATATATATATATATATATGTGTATGTGTATGTGTATGTGTATATATGTATATGTATATGTATATGTATATGTGTATGTGTATATGTATATGTATACGTATATGTATATGTATATGTATATGTATACACACATTCTATTGGTTCTCTTTCTCTGGAGAACCCTAATACAGTTTGGACAACTGTTGTGCTAGTCAAAGGAAATACCACAAGTGGAAGTGTTTGGCTGGTGTTGTGTAGCAGTAGATCCTGTGGTTGATGGGTGTTCAAGGTTTTATATAATCTTATAATTTAAGGGCTTATGAAAAAGAGAGCAGGAGAAGACATGCTGGGATCGTTCTGTGGTTGTCACTTTGTGACATTTTAGGACTGTTTCCCCAAGTCATACAATAATTACTGTGTTTTTTTTCTGTTAGCTTCAAAAGTGATGCTAGAAGAGAAAAAGAGGAACCAAAATAAAGTGGACATAATAACTCATCAGACTATGCTCTAGTAAAACACAGAAAAGACCCAACTGCATCTTATTTAGGGAAGGTCAATGTAATGGTTAATTTTACGTATCAACTTGTCTAGTCTGTAGTACCTAGATATTTGATCAAACATTATTCTAGATGTTTCTGTGAAGGTATATTTTTTTTAGATGAGATTAATAGTTAAATCAATAAATGTTGAGTAAAGCAGATTACTTTTCATAATGTGGGCTGGCCTCATGCAATCAGTTTGAAGTCCTTAAGAAAAAAAACCAAAAAACAAAAAAAGTGAGGTCCTCCAAGGTAGAGGGGGGCCTTCTGACTGCCTTCGGGTTGTGCTGCAACATAAATTCTTCACTAGGTCTCCAGCCTGCTGCTCTGCACTGAAGATCTTGGGCTTGCTAGACCCACAATCGTGTGAGCCAGTTCCTTAAAATACATCTCTCTCTCCCTCTTTGTGTGTGTGTGTGTGTGTGTGTGCGTGCTATCTCTCTCCATATATATATATATATGTGTATGTGTATGTGTATGTGTATATATGTATATGTATATGTGTATGTGTATATGTATATGTATACGTATATGTATATGTATATGTATATGTATACACACATTCTATTGGTTCTCTTTCTCTGGAGAACCCTAATACAGTTTGGACAACTGTTGTGCTAGTCAAAGGAAATACCACAAGTGGAAGTGTTTGGCTGGTGTTGTGTAGCTATATGTATATGTATATGTGTATGTGTATATGTATATGTATACGTATATGTATATGTATATGTATATGTATACACACATTCTATTGGTTCTCTTTCTCTGGAGAACCCTAATACAGTTTGGACAACTGTTGTGCTAGTCAAAGGAAATACCACAAGTGGAAGTGTTTGGCTGGTGTTGTGTAGCAGTAGATCCTGTGGTTGATGGGTGTTCAAGGTTTTATATAATCTTATAATTTAAGGGCTTATGAAAAAGAGAGCAGGAGAAGACATGCTGGGATCGTTCTGTGGTTGTCACTTTGTGACATTTTAGGACTGTTTCCCCTTATGGAGTTTATGTCAAAAAAATGTCCCCAAAGATTGACTATGCTTTCACCACAACAGAGCTATGCCTCAGGGTTCAAACTATTGTTTTCTCTGTGCTTCTGGGTAGTATCCCTTTATACAAGACAGGTGGTTGTTTAGTGTAAATTTGTCTGATACTTTTTCCATGGCAGCAATAAACTGTATAGGAATTCACACACAACATCTACTGGAAGGATAGCAAATGATAATGGAGAGACTTATGTCTTTTAATATAAAAATGCCCTGTATTAAAAGTGATTAACATACATGGATAATAAGCATCAAGAAAGCCAGACATATTATCATAATAAAATGCTGCAAAAGAAATAAATATTTTTCAAAAGAGGGTAACTCCTCAGTGGTTTTTATTGTCCTCTTAACACTTCTTGTATCAATCCCACAGAAGGGCAAAAGGGAGTTACTCTGGAATGTTCATTTGTGTCAAAAGCCCTTTGGGCATCTTGTCATGAGGCTGCTGGCTTTTTGAATTTTAGTATCAGTAGTTAAAATGGGGATTTCCTGTTCTATAAATCCATTTATGTTGTTTATAACAGAATACCTGAAACAGGATAATTAATAAAGAAATAAAATTTATTTCATTTAGTTTCAGAGGCTGAGAAGTCCAAAGTCCAGGGAACACATTTGGTGAGGGCCTTCTTGGAGGTGGCGACTCTCCACAGAGATGCTGGGTATCACATGGCGGAATGGTTGAGCAAGAGAGAGCTAACCTTCTCACTGGCTCTTCTTATAAAGCTGTTAAAACCACACCCATGAAACTCATTAAACCATCACTTTATTACTCCATGAATGGATCACTCCGTTCACTAGGGCATGGTTCTCACAATCCAATCAATTCTTAAACTCTGCAACTTTCAATAACCATAATACGATTCCTCCATGTCCCTTAACACTGTCACATGGGGATTAAGTTTTAATGAGTTTTCAATCCACAACATCTGTTCATCTGTTAACATAGGAAAAGATGTTATTTTCTTTTTAGCATATCTATTTATATTTAAAGTTTCTTGACTCTCCCTACCCTCCTTTGCTCTAAGACAATATCTTCCTTTTCCATTCTGATGAAGAAAAGTTGTCCCTGTGGGTGTGATTTATAAAACTTCAATGCTTTTCTCAGACAAAGAAGAAGGAGGTGTTGTCCTACTCTTGTTAGGGAAGGATTGGGCCACTGTTGTTCCTTCTGTATATTCGGCCTTAGCTTGAGTCTTTTATGAACTGGCTCAGAAGAAGATTTTATACAAAGCTATTACCTTTTACATTACACGAACTTTTAAATAAATATTTAGCTGATAATTAATTGCCATCAGTACAGACCAATATTTGAGATAAGAACTGTGCCACTGACTTTGTCATTTGACTTCCAATATGACATTGAAGTTAAACATGAGGGTCCTCTGTGGCAGAGAACAGACCTCCTTCTGCCTTTATTTGCTTCCTATAACCATACATTTAGAAAAGTTCCTTAATTCTATTGCCATTAGTCTAATGAGGAAATAAAAACTAAATAAGATTAGAGCCTTTGCCTGAAGCACCTTCGATGTGCTCTCTCTTTTTGAATCTCAAGCTTAAAATTGCTGTTAAGTGACAGCGTCTAGTTAGGATTATAGAACTGAGAGAGTTATAGATATTTGAGAAGAATCCCAACCATATTACAAATACTAGAGTTAGTACAGTGTGTCTCTAGCAATTATTGGATAAATGACCACATGAATTTACATGCAATTGAGGTTTGGTAGTTTATATCCAGATTTGCCTAGTTCTGTGATAGCCATGTGAAATTCTATGATTTTATAGCTCTAGACATACACATGATGGAAACAAATTGATATTAAATTGTATGTGATAGTTCTAATATGTTGTTCAATATCCACTGAAGTCATTCACATCTAGCACACTCTGCTGAGTGTGTCACACAACACAGACCAGTGCTGTCCACCACTCTTAAGATCACTTAATGCTGAGCCTTATATGGGAAGTGTACAAAAATATTTCTTGAACAAAACGAATGTTACAAAATAACTTCACCTCTGAAATAGGGCACTTAGATGTATAAATAATGCCTTGATTCTGGAAAAACAGTTCTCCCTGTCCCTTTGATCAATTTTTTGGACAGATCTTGAGCAATACTCATCTCATCCTGGTTTTGGCATAGGTTGTTTCTCATCTCTTAGGTCTTAAAATGGACTTTCTCAAAGAGGTTTTCCATAACTTCTATTTCAGTTAATTCCCCTTTTTCCTTTCCTTTCATTCTTTTTCATGGCATCCTGCTTTTTCCTTCATAATACTTATAATTATTAATGTATTTGTATAATTTTTGAAGGTATTTCTCTCAACTAGACTGTAAATTTCAACAGAGCATGGATAATATCCATTTTGTTTGCCACTATGCACTTATCCCCTAGCAGATGAATGAATGAATGAATGTGTAGGATCGATGTGATAAGTCACCTCAGTCTCTAATTTTTCCCAAGGGGAGACAATATGATCTACAAAGTGAGAGAAGTACAGGG